GTTGATGTATTCTTGGAATCATTAAAATGTTGAAGTTTTTTTCTTTTCTCCATTTCATTCAATTTACAATAGAATAGAATAGCAGTCATATGGTATGTTTTATATTAAGAAATTTACTTAATCCTTCAAAATCGACAAGTCGTTTTGATATTGATTAACTTTTTAAAGGACTTGATTAAAAAAATATAATGTATATATATATAAAAGAACAAGAATACAAAATTAAAAGAAAAAAAATAAAAATTAAATGTAAATAAATAATAAGCCGAAAACTTAACTTGTTGATATTAATATTATTTTTAGAATAAGATTATATTGTAATCATAATAAAAGGGGGCATTCATCAACTTCTAAAAATGTTTATTTTAACTTAATTAATATTTTTATAATATGTAAGTGCAAACATGGATTTGCGTCAGTGCTAAATCAATAACATATTTTTTAAATATACATACGCATAATAATGTAAATAAATAGTATAACAGTTTTTTGTTTGATTGATTGAAAATTTTAATTCATTTCTTTTTTTTTTGTTAAAATGTTGTTAATCAATTATATAATTCTATTATTCAATAACTTATCAAATTTATTTTTAATTTTTAACAATATTGCGGAAATCTAATTCAAATTTTCCTTTAAAATTTAAAGAATGTTATACGAGTACATACGTTTGTATGAAAAACTGAAATGAGTATTTGGCCTTATAGCAACCTACAGTAACTGCAATGGCTTTAGTAAACACTTATTTAATGACTGACAGTGAATTCGACAGTGATAATAAAACATTGTTAATGTAAGCTTTCAATAGAAAAACGATAAGAAAAAAAGGACAAGGAGATTTAATTTCTACAAATAATTTCTCGAGTAATTGTAATTTCTACAGAAATAAGCGGATTGTTTCCGAAAAACTTATTTTATTTTTGAATTTGAAATTCATGTAGGCAATACGCAACACATATACGACGTTTACGACGTTTATGTATATCCGGATTTTTTTTTTGGTCTTTAAAGTATCATGTAGCAAAAAAATGCTGTTTACATTCAGTAATTAGCAATAACCACTTAAGTTAGTTTGATTGTTTAGAACTAATTGCAGTATTTCATAACTTTAGACAATAATAATCAAAAACTATTTACACTATAGCTATTATACTAAAATATTTTTCCAAATGAAATCTCAGGCAAAACAGTTGCTCTCAAATTTTTACTATAATACACTTATTCTGTCACACACAGGTCAAATAATAAACAATATTATTTTTGTACTAAATTATGGTTGATAACTTTGATTGAAATGTTTATGCAAGACACAAACCATTTAATAGTTTTTGTTATGTAATCAATTTCTGATTTCTTTAATATTTTAATAGGAATTTTTCCTACTGTAGTATTTTTTTTTAAATTAATTTTAGTACATAAATTTCTATTATTATTATTTTTTTTGTCATAATTTTAGTTCAAGGATAGTTTCATTTTTTTTTTCTCCTTTTGACCTCTTCTTGACACCGTTCTAACAATATTATAATTTTAAAAACATTTAAAAACAATTCATTTATATGCAAATATAATTTTAAATTGTTTTTAATTTATTTTATGCAAAAATAAAATTATATAAATAATATAAATTTGTATTTACTTTGTCATAAACTTAAAAAATTATAATATAATTACAATATTATAGTATGTGGTATAATATAGGTACGTATATAGATAAAAATTTCTTTTTAATGTCAGTATATTAAAAATTAAAATGAATTTAATGATTTTAGATTGAATAAATTTTTCAAGTCAGTATCCATTATGACATTTTTTCTGACATTTTGATTCATACACAATTTTAATGAACTTTAATTAATTTTTATTATACAAAAACATTTAAATAAAAAATTTTTTATTTATTGGAAAAAGTAAAGCGGTTTCGCTTAGCATACGAAGGCAAAATAAAAGTTGAAAAGAATAGGCAACATGTTGAAGAAGAATTTTTGAAAAGTACTAATGCAGCTGGTGTTATGACAACAAGAGCAGGACGGAAGGATAAACATAAACAAGAAAAAGAAGGAGTAAACATACCATTTCGTTTACACACCAGAACTCTTATATAGGAACAGCGTTAATTAAGTCCAATTGAAAGTAAGAAATTAAAGCTAGTGACTTATGGAGGGATTAAATAGAGCAATTTGCAAGAAATACAGTTAAATGAATGCAAGTAAAACAAACATCGAATAATTCTATCACATGAAGGGTAGAATTGTAACAAAATTTCATAGACCTTATTTGAAAGATAAATTTAAACAGTTTTACATTTGGCAATCAATTAATATTCCATTTTTTTTTTGTTTGGAAAATTTAAATTGATATACATATACTTCTTCGTCATAAATATATTTGTATGTACAATGGCTGTACTATGGACAAGCATTTTCTATATCATCCCCAATACTTTTCCCTCAAAAAAATTTTATTTTGTTGAAATATCATAGGAAAAACATTATGTTAGCAATGAAAAAATAAAATATTCATTTAAAAACAAGATTTTTGTCTGAAAAATTTGCAAAAACATGTGTAAAAATTTTTTTAATTCATGCAGATATATTTTTGTTTTTTTGAAGCATTTTATTAAACAAATTGAGACCCGATTCGGAATTATTTCCAAAAAATGTTATCAATTTGAATTCGCTTTAAATGCAAAGAAAAAATTTTATTTAGAATATACGTATCTAATGGAAAAATTTGGAAAAAATTTTTTAAAATTTAGTTTTTTTAAATTTTCATAATGGCCCTGTTTTCCATCGCTCATTGCAAATGTTTACTTTGCATATATGATAGATCTGCCGCTAACAAAATTTATATAACAATTTACAGAAACATTGTTATGATAGTATCTATGATTTGAATCTGAAAATTTTATCAATATTTATTAAAAAAGAAATAATTGCATATTTTTAGGTAAGAAATCTTAAATTAAATCTTTTATACAACCTTAAATAAATAACTACATACTATGTTTAATTCATAATTTATAAATTATTTATATGATGGTCATAATAATGGTTATATACTAGTTATTGTGTATGTATGTACGATATATTATTATTACGTAAATGAATGTTTTTTTTTTGAAAATTGTGATAGAAAATTTTCAATAGAAATAAAATTCTATAGCTCTTTATAGAAAAACTGTTACGTGTTATAAAAAATTCAATTACATACATAACCATATTGTAATATGAGTTTATATTTTATTAAATTATATAATTGCAATACAATGCAATATAATGTAATTATATATTATATTGAATGTGTGATATTCAATACATTATTGTAATAAATCATAGAGAAATCGTAATTTAAAATAGCAAAATTCTTTAAAATTCAAAATATAATATTAAGTACTTATTCTTTTTTGTCTAAATACCTTAATTTTCGAAAATATGAAGGAAAAAAATTAGGTTTTGCTTAAACTAACATAAAGAATATACTAAAATATTTTCCTAAAATAACATTTCTTTTGTTATTATTAATAAATAATATGTATATTGTGTTTCTATTTCTTTCTTATATAAAGTAAAAGATAATATACCATTTTTTTCTCCTTTTTTTTCATTTGTTTCCTAATATTAGGCACCTATATATGTTCGTATATCGAAATATATATAAGAGCACATAAATTGTCGAGAGTTCGCGTTGAGTATGCGTTAAAAAAGGATTTTTAATTTTCTTCAATGGTTTTCATTTAACATATATATATATATATATATAAAGTGATTATATATAGGTGTGCTATATACCGTTATTCAATAATATTGTATTACAAAATTATGTTATATAAAAATAAGTTAAAATCCTTTTATTATGCATCATTTTATGTTTTTATTTTTTTGTTGTTACTTTATTTTAAGCAATAATGTTTAACATGTAGCAGCACTTAACAAATATATATAATATAGGTTATTTATATATACACTTATTCAAGTAGATATTTTATTATACAAAAAGTCTTTATGAAATAAAATTCAAGGAAATAAGGAAAAATCTCAAATTCTATTGTTATATAATGACGAGAATGAATAAAGTAAGAATAGAGTATCAAAAGTTATATTATGATTTATTTAAATGATTACCGATATATTTTTGCAAAAAATGTTACCTTCTATTAACATGTTGAACTCATGTTAACTTAATTTCTTATTCAGCAATGTAATTTAAATTGCTTAATTAAGTAGATTGAAAAATATTTTGAATTATTGCAGTTTCCCACCAAGTTGATAATTCTTAAAATATTAATATTATTTACGAACATTTTATTTGCTTATTTGAGAACATTTATTTGAAGTTCCTGAAATTTCTGCTCTATTTTATTGGCAAAACTAAATTCATGGTATCAAATGAAAATCTCCACCAAAAAATTCTGTGATATATTCTGTCCTGCATACTTTATTGCATTGCTTTGCACAATTACAAAATCTCAAAATCTAAGGGGAAACAAGAAGAAAAAAACAACAATATTATTTTTAAATTTTAAAAAAAAAATAATTATTTTTTCATTGTTTCAACATAATTACCATAATATATACATATATATATATATATATATATATATACTTACAAAATGATTGTACATGTAACAATAACCTCATTTTTTATGTATTTTGCATTTTTTAAATTCCATTCCATTTCACAAATAATTCAAATACCATTTTATTTCGATTCTATTTCATATGCCCTTAATTTTATAATATTACACTTTTATGTTATATTTATATATTTTAACATTAAAACACTCACACACACACACATAAATGTGTTATATTCTCAAATATAAATGTTCGTATATATATCCAACAGTTTGATAAGATTTTCTCATATTCTTTTTTCGTTTGATACACCGTATAATGTGTGTGGTGTGTAGGGGGTGAAAGCAATGAATTAAAAAAGGTTTTTCATATTCTTTTTACTGTTCTTTTTCCTTTTTTTCTGTTTTTGAAGTGCTTGTTTTTCTGTTTGTCTTGTGCGAGTTAGCCTAGTCATCATAAAAACTCGGTACCTATTGGAAGGGCGAACAAAAAAAAATATTTTTTTATTTTTTATTTTAGCAGTGATTTTTTAATAGTGTTTTTATAAAGAAAAATTACAAAGGCAAAAACGAAAAAAAAAAATATTAAATTTCTTTTAATATCTTATAAGTGCAAGGAAAAAAAATTTATTAAACTTCAAAATTTATTTTTGTTTTTTTTTATAATTAAAAATTAAAATTTTGTGTGATTTAAAAATTAAAATTGTTGAATTGAAAATTTATTTAAGAGTTTTGAAAAGTGGTGTATCAAGAAAAGAACAAATAAAAAAAAATTTTCAAGAATTTTTTTTTTATGTACAATTTAAATAATCGGAAGTGTTAAGGAGACAAAGGTAAAATCATCAAAAATAAAAATCTTAAAATTTAATTTTATTGAGAAAAATTTTGAGAAAATAATTTAAAATTAAAAATTTTTAATAAAAAATTCATAAATATTTTTCCAAAATCTAAAAAAAAAAATCTTTTTCATCCTTTTCAATTTCGCTTCTTTTTTTTTCTATTTTCCAAATAGAGGAAAGAAGAGAAAGAAAAATATGTATTTTTCTTCTCTTTTACTTCTGTGTACATATAAAATTCCGCTTTTGTTTTCTTTGTTTTCTTTGTTTTTGTTTTCATATTATATGAGAGACTTGCGCTTTAAAGGCACTTATTAAAAAAATTCTTTTAGGGATTTTCAATTTTATTTTATTTTTATTATTTTCATTTTTCTCTCTACGTCATCAATTCATAATACAAGTTCAAATAGAAGAATAACAAAAAAAAAAAATGAAAATACAGAAAGAAAATTTAATATTATGTATATGTGTATGTATGTAGGTATATTATAAGATATGTTTACGTAAATTAAAAGCAGGTAATCGAACCGTAAAATTAAAAAACAAAATGGAATTGAAGAATAAAAGAATCATAATATAATGATAATTAAAAGCATGAACAAGACACAATTGGAACCTACCTAAGAAAATTAATCATATAATACTATCAAAGAAATGTAAAATTCGAATTAAACTGTATAATCTAATCTAATATACTCGTATTTTGATCTATATTAATTTTTTAGCAATATAATAGCAATAACAAGAACTACGCTAAGAATGAACTCTAATTTTGCCAATGCAAATATAAACTTTTTAGTCTTTAATGTTCCTAAACAGAAAATCAACTTTCTCAAAAGAACATGATTTAATATTCTTAACAACATTATCAAACTACATTATTCGAACTATAGTGAAATACAGTTGGCAGTGGTGGCTCGTTGTCACACCTTATTTCATATACATTCAGTTTTAATGCGAAAAAAAGAACAAATTATTAAACAAAATGTATTAAGCTATGTAAAACAGCTGAGAATTGGAGCATAACTTTCGATGGAAAGGTATTTTCTGTTACGTTGTCACTTTATTAAAAAATTAACAGAGCTTACTTTGAGAGAAAATAACTAAGATGGGGAAAAATTTAAATTTTATTCTAATAAATTAAAATGTTTGTATTAGTAACTAAAATCAATTAAAAATATCGTATAATTTGGACTTCCCGTTTAATAACAACAAAAAATTCGAAAAAGAAACAAAATTTTTGGAATAATGGTTTATTTGATAATTGTAATTCGACGTCTTGTCCTCGCAATAAGCTGTCAAAAACTGTGACTTTTTTTAACTTTGACGAACATGAAAGAAAATTTTCTAAGATAAATCTATTTACTTTTGAAATTTTGAATTTCTATCTAGAATTATTGTAAACGGTAATATTACGTTTAAAAATATTGGTTCGGTTCTCTGACTAAAATATTATCTAAAACAAAGTAGATAATTACTAAGTGTAAGAGAATGATGATGATGACAACAATATTTTAGAGGGTGATGATACGTCTACCTTTAAACATGTGATATATACAAAAGAACTCTAAAAATACATACATACATACTTATACACTTTATTTAGCAGATATATAGTCAAATAATTATATATTATAAAATTTCATTCTCAGTATTTTGGTTTTCTTTTTCTTTTAGTTTTCGTATACATTTCTGTATTGCCTTTGTCAATATAAAGATTAATATCAATTTTCCAACTCCAAGTTTAACATATAAAATTTATGAATTAAGTGAATCGTTAAGCAACAAGTCATATATGTATTTTTATATATAGATATATATGTGTTATATATAGGAAGATTTTATTTGGAAATTTTATATTTTTTATATATGGAATTTGTTGCGTGTAATAGAAATTTTCATTCTTATATTTTATGCAATTTATGTCGCCTTTTCTTTTTATATATACATATGTATATTTATAATTCTATCTTGTTTTCGAAACTCAGTTACACACAATACCGACATATTTATATATACTCGTGTGTGTACAGCTAATTCCTGTTTAATTTAATATTTATTTTTCCAATTATAAATATAATTCTTTTTTTTCATTCAGTTATTTTCTGTTTTTAAGGATAATTAAAAGGGATCTAAAATTAGATTATAAATAATTATATTATTTTTTAAATGATAACATTCCATATAAATTACTAATATAATACAAATAAAACAATTAAGATAAGTTTTATATTCTCTATATGTATGTTTGCATGTACTTAGGACACGTTTATTAATTAAATAAATAAAAAAATATGAATAAATTTTGTTAATAGAATAAATTTATGTAATGTCAAAATGATAAAGTGTCAAATTGATTAAGTCAAGAGCAATATAAATATTAAATACGTACATATATGTGTGTACATATAAGTGAACTTTGAACATTATTTAGATAATTTAATATTAAATAAAATAATAAATCATAAGAATAAAAAAGAATAAACCAATAAATAATATTAATAAAAAAATAGAATTTATTGAATTATTTGATAAAAAAGACAATTGAGAAGGCAACACAAAAAAACATTAATCGAATTACGTATATAACATAAAAATGAGTAACTCTTTTAAATGTCAATAAATATTTACACATACATAAAGGTAATTAATGTATGGGGTAGCATATATACTATATAGTACATGACATATTATCTAGGATTATGTATATGTTATTATGTATACCTAGGATGATATTATATAGATATGAAAGGGTGACAACAAACTTGAAAATAAAAAATGCTTACGTTGTAATTTTAAAAGAGAATTGCATATATGTAGGGGTTATTTTTAATTATATTTATTTTTTACCTACGTCGGCACATACAAAAACAACAAATTTTTTCGGAATTTATTTTCAATAAAAAAAAAAGTATTTAAAAGGAAAACAATAAAAATTGGAAAATTTCCGTTATTGTGAACAACTGTATTTAAATACATACATAGGTATGTGGGTGGAAATTACGTTTCATATTCTCAAGTATATGTAGAAAATTTAAAAGTTGTATCTATTTGTGTACTCATAGTAGTCATAGGTTTAAAGATAATGTGTGGAAATTTTCAAAGTTTAACAAAAGAAAAAGTAAAAAGTAATTAAATAAAAATTAAATGTGAATAGTTGACAAAATATTTGACGATTCCGATTACAGGCGAATTCGCCTTTCCTTCGGCAAAATTTATTTTGGTTAAGAAAAAATCCTACAAAAATACGATTTAGCACTTTCAAATAACTTGTGTATGTTTTCAATCCTATCATCTTCTTTTACATTTTCCATAAGCCTTCAAAAGGAAATCGCCGCCGCACAGTTTTGCTTAATTAAAATGCATTCTATAGTATTTTATAAAGAATTTTTTAAGTAAGCGCTTAGCTTTTTAATATTATTATCTTTTTGTTTTTTGTTCTTATGTTTTAAAATTTAAATTTTTTTTAGTGGTTTTTATATGACCTTACAAAATAATTTTATTCTAATTTCTTTACAATATTAATACATGTATCTAATGGTTCGATAAAATAATTCAATTAATTGAATAATCGAAAAAATCACATTTATTTATAAATTATAATATAAAATGATTCGATTTCAGTATACGCTAAAGATTGAATGTGTACAGTGGAAAATGTAATAATTATTTAAATATTGAAACATTAATTAATAAAAAAACTGTAAACTTATAAAAAAAAGAAGCAGAATGTTTTGTTCATATCATTGAAAATCTACTGTATATAAAAGCTCGTACACGTCAGCACTAATGTTAAGTATAGCAATTTGATCTTTCAATTACAAAAGTCATATTTTTTGAAAATTTTGTAAACGAAGCAAACCAATGTGTAATACTATAAGATTAAGAAAATAGATTGAACGGATAATAAGAAGTTTTCATCAATTTTTGCCGAATATTATTGAAAAACCAAAAAAAAAAAACAAATTCATAAATGAGAAAAACACTGTTTAAATTCACTTTAAAATTTGAATATTTAAAAACACAAAATTCCTTAAAAATTTTATGTTTAATTTAATGAAATACTAAAAGTTTTTTATATTTATTTTTAGGTTCAGTATTATCACGAATTCACCTGTTTTAATATTATAAATATGACGATTCCGAAGCTGTTATTTATTGTAATTTTTTCAACTACAATATGCCATCAAATCATGGCATATATACCAATGACAGCAAAAGATCATTATTTATCTGATATGTTAATACGGCAAATTGTTGATCGTATGGGAAAAGATTTACTTGATTCCGATGAAATGTATGTTGATCAATTGAGTAGTACTGGTCAATTACCACCATCATCAAATTTAGCTTTAATGTCAAGAGCATCAAAAGATCAATTAGAAAATGAACAATTAGATTATGATGCATTATTGGAATCAGCTGTTGGTAATCCAAATCCATCATTACGTGATCAAGAATATTTACAACATAGTTCATTATGGGGTCATCAATATGTTTCTGGTGGAGCTGGTGAAGGTCCACATCGTTTAAAACCACAAATAAAAACTGATGCAAGTTTACCAGCATATTGTAATCCACCAAATCCATGTCCATATGGTTATACAGAAGAACAGGGTTGTATGACCGATTTTGAAAATACAGCAGCATTCAGCCGTGATTATCAAGCAGCTCAAGAATGTATGTGTGATGCTGAACATATGTTCGATTGTCCAAATAATGATCAAAATGATGAAAATCGTCAAATGGCATCAGATTTAGAAAGTTTTCTTGTACGACAATTTCATGCAGCTGGTGGAACAGAACATAAAAATTTAGTTGCAAAAAAATTTCATCCATCAAAATATAGCAGCTCAAATAAAATACAATTTCGTTCATTGGATGATGATGAATCATCTCTTGCAGAAAATCCATTTCTACAAGGTGAAAAATTACCGATTGCTGCCAAGAAAGGAATCAATATTTATTAAAAATTTTTATTTAAAGGGAGAGATTCACCTCTATATTTTTTTGTTCTTATTTTATTTTTACGAAATTTTATTTTATTTTTTTTTTCCTCCAGAAAAATATTAAATCAGATAAAACAAAAATTCTATGTTATTTAGATTATTTTTAAAGGAATGAATATTTAACACCAGCTTAAAAGTGATAGTAGTGATTTTAGAAATGAAAGTCATTTATAAAATATTTAATATTTTCTGTTAAATTTTTGTATATTAAAAATTGAAAAAAAATGATTGTGCGAGGGGAAAATTTTCACTTAAAGTTGAAAAAAAAACAACTTGTTCAAATTTCTCTATAATTCACAATCATTTTTTTAATAATTCAAAATTAGCATTCTGTTTTTATAATACACAATTAATTTTGAGTGTTTATTGTGATATTTCAAAAAATATCGTAAAATATCTTTTGAGTTTCTATTGATTTCTTAATAAAGATTTCAAGGAAAATAATAAATAATTCATAAATTTAAATTAATAACTTTAAAATTTAAAAACAAAAAAAAAGAATTCTTTATATATTTTTTAAACATATTATATATTTATTAATTCATAAATTTAAATGTACTCAAAATACATACACACATTTATATACACTAAAAGGAAACTATACCATTTTTTAAACTTTACATTTAAAACAAAAGAAAGTAAAATTTAGTGTTTATTAAACAAAAAAAAAATTTTCTCAACTTATTAAAAATTTGTGTATTCTGAAAATAAATTGAAAAAATAAACTAAAAACAAAAAAAAAAAAAACAAATAATTTAGAACAAAAAAGAAATTAATCTAATTGAGTGATTTTTTTTTAAATATAAAAATAGAGATATATTTAGAAGAAAATTGTGATAAATATTGTTGAAATATCCTTCCTTCCTCCGACCTGGTTAATTACATATATATAGACATAACAGTCAATAAATTCTTCTAAAACCATTATTAATTTAAGTTAACTTTACTTGATTTAAATGAAAAAAAAATTTAAAAATTGGAATTATTTATTAGATAATTAAAAAAGAGAATTTAAAATAATTAAACTTCAAAAAATTTATAATTCATTCACAATGAGTATTTACAATTGATTAACATATTTTATTAAAAACTGTTAAAAGTTTTTATGTATTCACAAAAACGATAAAAAAATAATAATATAAATTTCATATTATAATTGGAAAATTTTTAAAATTATTTTTTATATTATATATAAAACCCCTAATTTACAGAAGTATATATATATGAAATGAAGTATAGCATATTGGAATTTCATAATATTATGAATAATTATTGCCAGAAAATATTCTTTGAAAATGTTTAATTAATTACTTTTAATTTAATTTTAAAAACAAACGTACAATGTTATTTTTTCTCTATTATTTTCCATAGAACAATTATATCTATATAAATTTGACTGTGTTATTATATACACCTTGTTTTATTTGGCAATTATTAATTAAAATGCTGACAAATTAGTAAAAACTATGAATTATTTCATTCCATTTAAAATTAATATATTTTGTATTTTATTTTTAATACTTTTACAAAAATTTAATAATTCACTTAGTTTGACAATAGTAAAGAAACGTATACAATTGAAAGTAGATTATCTTAACTATATAAATATAACTTAATTATAAAATGTACAAAATTAATGTAAAATATTTTTTGTCAAATTAAAAAAATTCTAAATGTATTAATTATATAAAATACACAAAATAAGTTATTGCGTATACTTAAAAAAAACATTGTGACATTTTGGAAATTCAAATACATACAAATATATACCACCAATTTAATTAACAAAAAGCAAATTAAAAACTAAAATATTAAAAATAACAACATATATACATAACATGTATAAATTTTAATAATTCAATGCATAATGTATATATGATTATGTTATACAAATACTTCTGTACCGTATGTTTTATAATAATATAAATTATGCATAAACAATTTTACAAAAAGTCTATATTCTTTTGTTACAATATTATTATTCACATATATAATAATTAATAAAAAACACTAAATAAATATTATGTAAAAAAAATTTCTATTTATTTATTTATTTTGAAATTCTCTTTTTATTCATAATAAAAATTTATATAGAAAAAATTATTGACATTTATAATAAAACATATCATAGCAATATTTTACAATACAAACATTTTAAATAACAACAAAAAAAAAATTTCGTAGATGAACACTCAAAAAATTGCACCCAAAAATTAGAGAAAACCTAAAACATTTTTTGGAACTCTTAATAATTATTATTAAAAAAAAATATCTTTTATATTATGTACTTATTATTTAATATATTTAAAATCTACAAAAAAAAATTAAAAATATTTTTACCAAAATTCAATTAGAGTTTATTGAAATTTAATTATTGTGAATTGTTTATGTCATATTTCCCATTTTATTAATTTACAATATTATTTTTATTATCATTATTATTTTTATTGACATACATATAATGAAACCAAAAAAGAAAAGAATTGTGAATTCAAGTGATGAGTCAAAAAAAACATTCCTAAATAAAAACAAAAAAAAACTAAGCTGTCAGATTATCAAGAAGAAAGTCAATGTATATATTATGTCATTTTGTTTGATTGTTATTTTATATTAAAAATGTTTTAAATGTACATTAAATTTTTATTTTAATAATTTTAATTTTAATTTATGTAAAATATTATAAATATTTTTTAAATAATTTTAACAATAAATTTGTACTTGTGATAGTTATTGGCCAATAAAATTAAATTATTTAAAAAAATATTTGATGCAGTTTTTTACTGCTCATAGTATTTTCTATCATGTACTATATATATATATATATATATTATGTACTATATATATAGGTATATATATATGTAAAATAATTTCGTATCAAATAAAAATGAGTAATTAATAATTATTAATTATATATAATATTACAATTGTACATCTAAATGCAATTATTATTATAACACACAATTTATCAAATCTATTAAATAAATTCTATTCAATATTTCATTATTAATACGTTATAGTTTTATCTTCATTGTATAATAATATATTTGAGCTCCATATTGCAGTTAAATTGTATTATAATTGTATTTTGAGATTTATTATTAAGTCAAATCAGATTTGAAAACTGTATTACTGCAATTTGGAACTCAAAGTATTTGTGTAATAAAAAAAAAACTATTTATTTTTTATTATTTTTTTTCATTTTATTAAATATTTTTTAATGAATTAAATTTAAAAAAAAATAATATAAACTAATAATAGCTGAAGATAAAATTTATATGAAATTATCTGAAAATCCCACACAAAGAAAATTTAAATGTATGACAGAAAATGTATAAATGTTATATATAGAAAAAAGTTAAAGCAAGGAAAAGTATTATACTTATTACGTTTAAAATAAAAAGTGAAGACAATATAAAAATTAAAATATTTATATAGTTTAAATTTTCGTTTTTTTAAGAACATTAATCTAAATACATATTCATACGTATGTACACATGTTTATACTATATTGTATTACAAATTTAAACATGTATACATATATATATAAGTAAATTAGTAAAACTATAATTCTTTTCACTTTTTATTTAATTTATTGATATAGAAAGAGTAAAATGTTTTTATGTACTTTTATCTATATACATAAATTTATGAATTTATTTTTAAAATATTTTTTTCTTACGATAAAATTACATAGAAATATTTCTATCCTATACATATGTATAACAATATAGCATAAATATTGTAACAAAAAAATACTTACATAATCTTTCTCAGATTTATATAATTTTTAGTTCATTATTTAATATTGTTGAAAGATTATATACATAAATATATTTTTATTTTAAAAAATTAAATTTGTTATGTATTCACATACATATCTTTTATAAATATATAAACAAAATATTTTTTTATAATTATATATGTATATATATATATATATATAAAATCGATTAAGATGATTAAATATTTTATATACGAGTATTTTATGTAAAATTTTTTAAATTCTAATAATACTATTTTGTTGTTATTAAATTTGTTATATAGTAAAATTTTAATAATTTTTGTTATATTTTTTTTATAAAATAACATGAAATTAATTTCATATATATATAAAATAAGTTTAAATTTACAAATTAATTAATTATTATTAATTAATAAAATTATTTACATATATGTGTGTTTTTATTCTCTTTATTTTAAATTAAATATTTTTTTAAAATTGTTTTATAATAAATTTTTTTTAATTTATAAATTTTAATATGAATAATTAAATACTGAATTATAAATAAGTTGTTATATAAATAGCATATGTACTACAATTGAATATATGTATGTGATTACATAAAATAAATACAAAAACAAATTATTTATATACATATATTAAGTGTATAAATAATTTAATTAAATGTTATATATTTTATGTATATAAAAAAATAGAAAACAACAAAAAAAGTATATATAAAAATGCAAAATAAATGTTTTTAATATTGTTATTCCAACTATATATTATTATATAAAAAAAAAAGTATGTATATAGTTAAAGTATATTATACATTAAATAATATAAAAGGTAAAATAATGAAAAGAAATATTGTATTTTTAATAAAATAATTAATATTTTTCAAAAATTAAAAATTGCTAAAATAAAATAATTATATATATATAATTATATATATATATATTTATGTATATATATATATTAATATCAATGTCATTACAAAAAATATAAAACTTGAAAAAACTAAAAAAAAATACAAAAAAAAAAATCCTATAGCTTCTCTCTATAAGTAGAAAAATTTAAATCACTATTAAAATTTTCGCACTTTATATATTTAATTCACATATAAAAATATAAATAAAACAACATATTCTATGTATATTATATTAAATAAAAAAAAATTTGTTAAAAAGTCATACATAATACTAAATAATTACTAACTTTGGTGGTCTATTAATATATAAATAGTCCATATATACATAATATATAAACTATATAATATATTTATACAAATATACACTAATTAATTGTTTATATTCCACCAAAGTTAAAAATTAAAAAAAAAATAATTCGGCAAAATTTTGCTATTTTATAATACAACATATAAAATATGCTACACAACAACCCTATCGAAATAACTATGCATAATTTCAAAAACATCAGACGTTTAAAAAAAAGTACTTAAAATATTTTTATAGTTATTTCGAAGGCCTAAGTCCGACCAATTTGGCTATCGCGTGCCATTGAAATTGACAAAACAAAATAAGTAGTAAAATATCAAAAAAAAAAAAAATTAATATACATAACCAGAATATATTTATTTCCAAATAT